TAGATAGATAGATAGATAGATAGATAGATAGATAGATAGATAGATAGTTAAACAGGGCTTTAAGAGATTATAAGAGGTTATGAGAATCAACAGCAACAACAATCAGATGGGAAATTTTGTTCTAAAAAGCATTTGGTTAGTGCATTGTGCTGCCTTTGACCTTTCAACTATGATTAGATCCCCCCTAATTTTTTTTATTTTTTATTATTTCATAGTATGAATAATTTAGATTTAATTCATGTAGTCTAAAGCTTCCAGCGTGAGAATGGCAAACATTTTCATGTCCGTCACGTTAGATCACCTGGCACCCGACTGAACTTCTCAATCCTCAACAAAACAGCTATTTCATCTTTCTCAGGTGGCGTTAGAGTGGAGGGGGAAAAAATTCAAAGTGCGAGAGGTAGGGGTGAAATCAAATCTCTTCAGCAAACAGTAAAAAGGTCAGTGCTGACGCAGGCCCGGGAACAGGCCGCTCTCCCCCAAGACTATATTCCTAAGTGGCAATAGATTCTATTTGTAGCGTTTTACCTGTTTACTGACTCCCCCTCTCCAAAACCAGGTAGCTGCGCAAACATACTGGGGTTTGGACGACCTCTGGTGCCACGACACCAGGGATATATTTCAACTGAGGGGATGGTTCTGCCAGACCGCAAAACGGAACGTGGAGGCCAACAGGACTCTCATTTATCAGGCCTGGGATGCACAGTTCCACCAGGAACGGGACTCCATTATCAGGCTGTCATTGTTCGTTTTTAATGGAGATGTAAGCCACGTGATTTTTTTTAAATGAACAGGGACGGCCATGAAATTAATAAAAAATCCACCAAAGTTTAAAGTCCAGGTACTTTAATGAGCATCAGAAGCTCTGACTTGTTGTAATCAGTGGTGATCAGAGTTGTATCACCTTACAACATTACACAATTGGCGAATACAAACAAAATAATGCATCTCATTTTCTGTTCTTTCTGTGATGTTAGTGAAAGTAACTGAGCCATTCAGTTACAGATAGCCCTGTTATCAACCTCAAGCTACTGCCAGGCATGTTAGTGTCAGACTGCAAAGATTTCTCAATCAATTGATATTCCACACGTTAAAACAAAGAAAATTCAGCCGAAGCCAAAGCCCAAAGTTATCAGCATTTTATTTTACTGCAGAGTCCTTGAGGCAGGCCATTTTCCACCACTAAGAAAAATGATGAATTCCTCTGATGTCTCAGAAAATCTGCTGCAGTAGCAGCTTCATGCTAGGTGCTGTTTAGCTTCTGTAAAACTGTTGTAGATGTGCTGCATTTCTACTGTGACTGATTGTAGCCTGGTTCCTCCTTCCTCCACAAACTATTCTTTGTATTGCCTATTGTACATGTAATTTCTTTTCAGGGTAACTTGGCTAAGGTTTCCTCAGATGGTGGCCTACACAGTAAAAAAAGAATCCTGGCTGTGTATGAATATATATACACATATATAAAGAAAAAGAAAAAGCAAATATATATATACACGAGACTTTGACCAAGTTTTGAAATCTTCCTGTAACTATATATTTAAAATGTTTAAACTCTAATAGGAAAGACATTCGATGCTCCTAACAGGGGTAATTTGCTTAAACACAACCAAACTTAACTTTTGAGTTTTTTTTACTCAGTCCAATCATTCCTTATACAATATATACCTTTTGTTAATGAGTAAATAATGCAGCTAAAGACTCCAATGCAGTCAAAAAATCCCTCAAATGTACAATTTCTTAGTCAGCTTTCCACTGAAAAATAAACTTGGTATATTTCCCTTGCTCTATATTCTACATTGGTACTGAAGATCACACAGAGCTCATACTGTCTCCGTCCTTTTTTTTCTCCTTTGCCCACTCATGCTATATGGAGAAAATCCCCAGAACCCAGTCATATTTTCGCTTATTTCAGCCCACTTCTTCCCAGTCTTTCTCATCCACAAAAACTAGATGCTCTTTCATCGCTGTCAGAAATAAATAAACAAATTAATGATTTTTTCTTTCTGCTGAGATCTCATGTGTGTATTCAGCCTGCCATGACCGTCAACCGGGCACCAGGCAGCTATGGCCAACAGCTAGAATGCTATTTTGGGTTTAAGTGGAAACATTTTTCTTTGGTAGGGACCAACAGCAAAGGACCATCAGGCTAGGCAGTAAGTCTGTGAATCCTGTGGCCTTGTGGGTAAAAGTGACCCTCTGCCACAATCCTCTGGCACTGGAGGTCTGCATGTGGGCTACCAATAAAAAGGGGAAGGGGGTGGCAAGCCCATAATTTGAGTTTGGGATCTGAATGCGTGTGTGAGCGTGTTTGGTAGGTGGGAGGGATGGCACTGGTGAAGCCAGAATTAATAAACCTTAAAACACTTTTAACAAGCAGGAAAATATATCTGGCAGTGCAATCTGCAAAAGGGGGAAATGAAGACACACGTGAAGTGCCACTCCACAGGTTAGAAAACCTTCTGGAGGCAGAAGAGGATGAGGGTGGAAAAGGATGAAAACGGTGAACAAAGCTGAGAGGTGATGTGTGAATAAAACAGAACAGAATCACAACCTGGTGGTTTAACGGACAGACTTTTGTGCATGAGGCCTGTTTCAAGGCCAAAGTCAGCTGAAACAGGCAAAAACTGGAGACTGTGTCAGTCAAGAGGCAACCTGAGTGAAAGCCATCTCCTTAGCTGCTGGGAATTGAATATATTGAGCACATTAATCCAAATGAAGTTTGCCAATTTTGTTAATTTCAAACACAAAATGAAGTCATTTATAAAGGAATAGAGCTCAAAATACAACCTCCCACAAACACAATACAGTACTGAATAGTAACTTGTCTTTAGTCTTTTGAAGTCCACTGACATGCTGAAGCTCCTCTATGGATGAAGTTCCTCGTCCCGTTGTATCAGATGGGCCTGAAATGAGGGATGTTCAGCACAGAAAGAGTTTTTGGAGAGTTAACAGGAGCTGTGACAGTTTAAAAAAAAACTTTTATCATTTTTTACAAAGGTAAAATGTAAGCAAATATTCTATGTAGTTCGACTTATTTGAGCTCTAATTGAATATTGTTTTGGATACCATGTTATCGTGAAAAGGGAAGTAACCGGTGGAAGCCTGGCGTAGTTTGACAAATTCAATCTGACCTCCCCTAATATAGACTGCTTTAAAGCAGGATGTCTTAATATCCCACGTCTAAGACTATTTAGCCTGGATAAAAGATGGCCAACCTGGAGAAACTAAACAGGCTTTATTGGACTCACCATACCCCACCGAGTCATTTAAACTCCCTCAACATTGTCATTTTCAGAAGATCATGCTCATGTTTTTCTTTTGAAGATTGAAGAAATTCATTCCATTTTGTTTGTCTCAACTTATTAGAATGAAATGCTTTCTAAGAAAATAATAATCTGGGTTTCAGAAGTTCAACTCAGAAGTCCTCCTCCAAACCATTCACCTGACTGGGATTCTTTTTTTGAAACATGCAATATCCACATCCAGCAATCTTCTGGGCTTCTGTTTTCCTTGTTTTTTTACAGTTTCTATTCACTTTTTCTGAATAATGTACATGAAATAAAGGCGGCATGCCGGAGCCAACAATTGATCTTTTTAATGGACTCTTGTCTCAGATAATTGCAGACAGTATGTGTCTCGTCAATTAGTATCAGACTGACACCAATTCCTTACAAGTGTGACTGGGAGAAGCTTCCAGATCTGCCCTCTGTCATGAGAAAGTAGAGTGAAGCAGCCCACAGTTATAAATACGCCTCGACCATCAGAAAAGCCCATGGTTGGGAGATGATTGCCGTGTTTCGCCACCAAAAACACAGCTGCTAACTATGTTAAAATAATAACGTTGTCTAAATCTATGAGTGGTGGAGGGCTGAGAGGAGGCAGCCCAACCACACACTCACACACACTGCTTCTCATCCTGTCCCACAGTGATTGTCGGCCAACGTGTGTGGTGTGTGTTAACCGCCCGTCCAGCAGGCTGTAGAGCATGAGAGTGATTGCATGAGTCATATTTAGAAAGCGTTTCATTTCTCCACACGCACCCATTACACATTTATCCACGGAGGTGTATACAAAATAAACACACTCGCATTAAAGCGTGCACGCCGGGGTGTTTCAGACATGGCCAGCTGTGTTCAAATTTCAACCATATCTCAAAAATCCCCATAATTGCTATGTCGCCTTTGACGTTTCTGTATTTTACTGACCAACATACACAATCAGAGAGGCTTTATCGCTAAAACTGGCAGCGCTGGGGTATGTTGTTAGAGCTACACAAATACCAGGCAGCACTATTTATTCATTTGCTATGTAAAGACGGCCCTGTTCTCCTTATAGTGAAATCTTATGGATTTAGTGCTCTGGGCTTGTAACTGGTATCATTATGTAAAGGGCCATGAAATGAAAACTAGAAAAAAAGAGACTCTTGGAGGAAAGAATTTTAATAACTTTGATTTTCTTTTACTCATTTAAGTTCAGTTTCAACAATTCAAGGTAAAATTTCCAGTCATTGCACCTCGACACACAGACCTTTGTGTGAAGTTAATTTAATAATGCAGACCTCTAATGATGTTGTAGTTCTTCTTCAAATAGAAATAGAAATATACTTTGCTTTGCATGAATAAATTTTTTTTTTTCATAAAAAAAAAAGAAAAAACTTGTTTGAAATTCATGAAAATGACCAGTATTTTTTCTCTGTCACATAAGCAGCGCCTGTGCTGAGGACAGGGTGTGTTCCACCATGGTCATAACGTACTCCACCACATTCTTCTGTAGAAGATCTGTAGAAGGTCATCAGTTTTGCTCTTCAAACCACGAAGGATGATCCAATCTGCTGATGTGTGGCACAACCAGACCAATCCACTCAACTTTTCACAAAGTAACCAGGACTTATATTCACAACATTATGGTGTTCGGGTAAACATCTCCCCTTAAACACTCTCCCCATTTCAAACCTACATGGGAAATTGGTTAAAAAAAACTGAATTATAACATGAATACATAATTCTTGGACCTTTCTGAACGGTAAACTTTACCCAAATCATAGAAAACCAAATAATGTCACTCACATCCGTTGCCATGGAAGTCGTTGGGTTTGGATTTCTGCCTTTTTTTTGTAAATGCCTCATCCTCCTTCCTGTGTCCTGAGAGCTTTAAAGCAAATCTGTGTCAGAGTTGACACCCTCATATATTTGCTATTGAAAAAACTAACTGATCTTGGATGACACAAATCAGAATCTCCTATGATCTAACGCGCTGACCTGTGACAGCCCGATAAGGAGCGGTTGGACAGGCGTGGTGACCCCCTGATGGGATGGGTTGTTGTGTTTGTGCTGTGTGGATGGGGCAGAGCGGTTCACAGGGGTCCCGTGCCAGTGGCCACCTCTGCAACAGGGCCCTGTGAATTCTAACAGCGCTGCGATGCTTGCCTCTTTTCTCCAGGAAACCTGGCCCAAACCCAGTCAGCACATCTAATCTCAGTTTCTATATGATTCAATATACATTCAGAGGGAGGTCGTGTCCACTTCAAACAGGCTGGTTTCATATTTACACTTGAAATTTCAGCCTTTTTTTTTCTCTTTCTGCTTGATAACCGTTTCTTTTTCAAATATCTATAGTATCTTGGCTACACTGCAAAGTTGTGCGTGTTTTTGTTCTGTGCCCTGTGATGTGGGTTTCCTTTTATGTGTATGCAACCATTTGCGTGTTTCAAGAGGTGGCAGAGCAGAACTGGAGCCTCAGCACATCTGTGCCAGTTTGGAGGAGGGACAGGAAATTCATCCCGGGGAGATAAGGGACTCACATCAACAAAACACAAAGTTGGTCTTTGTATGTGCGGCCAGAAGCACAGAGAGGGAATATGAGTGCTTTTAGATCACATCCTTCACAGAACTGGGATCAAAGATAGCTCCCTCTAAAGTGAGATGATGAAGAATTTGGAAGGAAGCATAGTGAAAGATGAAACCTGTGAGGCTGCTTTTCCCTGTTTTATCTGACAGTTTCCACATTTCTAGACTTTTTTCTGTAATACTAAGTCTTGGATGAAAACTGTTTTGTTTTATAGGTTTTATATGTTGATTTTTTTCCTTCACTTTTTTTTTAAAACACTAGTGTGTAAGTGCTTGATATTCAGATCTCTTCCGTGGACCTAGAACAGGATGCTTTCTCTTCCTCTGTACTCCCCTCAGTTCCTGGAAACACCCAGTTTTCTGAAAGGTTCTACTCAAAGTTTCATCTGCAGCTGAATTTTAAATGTTGACATTTTAATCTTATGTGTTGTAGAGACCATCGTTTGCTAACTATAGAAAACAAAGGTGTTGTTGGATAAATTCAGTTTCATATCTAATCAGACTTTTGTCTTCAGAAAAAAAAACATATCGGTCTTCTATTATCATCAAATGGCAAACAAAAATAAAATTAAAATAAGAGCCTTTTTTCGTTGATATTTAATATTGTTTTTATTATTGGGATTTTGCCATGCACATACCTGGCCAGCCAGGGTCAATTTACACACGTGTAAACAAAAGCTGATGAAAATGCAGCATATATATATATTTATATGCTTTTTTTAATGTCACGTTTTAATATCACATAAAATATTTACAAACAGCAATGGACTGACAATTTGGTGAGTTTTACCCCTTGAAATAATTGCAAAAACGCCCAAGATATGTATTTGCATGAACGAATTATGATGCCATCTTATTCTTTTTTTTTCTTTACTGTAGACTGAGTTAGACATTCAAACAAAAAAAAAGGCAACAAGCTGGTTTCTATTATTATTTACAACATTTCTATTCACAAAGATATACAATGTACAATTTAACTGGCCTATCATTTAAATGCCTATATTTATGTATATTTACAGTACATGTGTATATTCTCATTTATGAGCTTAGATTTATTTAATGAATGCTGATAAGATAAGGCCTCAGAATACTGTAGACTTGAAAATTAAACAAAGACATTCTGTTAAATATCACTATGAAAAAAGAATGAAAAGAATAAAAATAATTCATGCTGTGTATTTGAATTTTCTTGTGTAACCAGTTTGTTTTGTACGATATTCTTAATTTTTTTCCATTATTTTATATCTTAAGAGTCTCATTACACGGTAGCATAGAGCATTTTGCCTCCTACTATAGCTTAGCTTCTTACTTTATTGCCTGGAAAAAAAAAGTTGCGTGCTCTTCTAATCTGGGATATAATGAGATCATGTGTAAAACATCTTGCATTACACGGCAAAAACAATGATATCAGACTGACCAGTGAATTTTTAAATTACAGGTTAAACTGTGTTTAACATGGTGGTTTATGTTAGGCCGTTAAAAAGCATGATGTCATGATATAATTTCTTCCAAGGTTTGTTATGTGGTCAGTTCTGGATGTTTATTGCAACATACGTGTGCGACCACACTTCACCAGATATGCATCGCTATGCTCTTCCTGGACAGTGATTAATTGATGACCAAAGACACAGGCAAAGCCCTGAGTAATAGCATGTTAAACACTTGGTGTCAGAGTCCGAGAGGCTGGATTATTTACTGCAGGAATGAATGTAATTATAGTTTCTAGCTTCACAATGGGTGGGCTTGCTGGATGTGAGGCAGTCATGATTGTCCTTTTAGAGTTTTTATTTTCTTTTTTTCAGATGACTGCAAAAACTCTGAAGGCTTTTCCTCCTGTGGGGTTCATTAAGCTGAATAAGGAAGAGCAGGAGAGGAAAATGGACAAGTTTGGATGTGATTATGTGCATACATGAGGAAGTATTAATTCATGAATGTCTTGCTGAAACAAAATGCTTAGGAATTTACATTCGTCTTGCAAATTATCATAAACTCACAAACAATAAACAATATGTGATATCAATATTACCTCTCTGAGCTGATGCCATTCTGGTGACTGCCAGTATACTGCTGCCTTCTGTCCACTGGCATCACATCCAGGTACCCTCCTGACTCATTCAGGATTACACCTGCGTGGATGGCTGCTCTGCAGATACTGGATTTCTGAACACAACATATGAAAGAGTAAAACCCTCAAAGCTATAAAATCCACAAATAAGCAAATGCACTGTATTTTGTACAAAGTAAAATATGTAAGGCAACATTTTATGTGAAAAATGCATATCCATCCATTGTAACATGATAAACAGAAAACTTTTTGTCGAAGAGAGAACTGAAAGTATAATAGACTAGTTTACTGACACAGAACCTTTAAAAAAAAGAATCATACTGTCTGGGAGGCATCCTATAAGTGCAACGTATGTATTCTTGTTGGACAGATATGTGCTCTTGTTATGAGTAACAGGTCTGAAATGCTTTGCTTCAAACATTAGCTAGAAATGGCCACCAGTCAATAGAAGTCAGTTACAACCAGTGATGCAAACACTCACATCTGAGTAGTTTTTTGTCCCAATAACTCGGACTTGACTGGAATGCAAACAGTTCCTGGGACAATACAGCCTGAAAAAAAATGCAATCATGAATAGGGTCACAGATTCGATTTGAATGCATTTCAATTTTGTTTTTGTGTGAAACCTTGCATCTAGAGCCAGCATTTTCACTTCATTTTTGTTAAGCTTCCCTAATAGAAAAATGTTTTAAAATCTTTTTTAAACTCTACTTCTTATTAAATAGAAACAAAAACTGTATGCACTTGGCTAAGAGATTTGTTTGTATGAGACAGGTGTTGCATTTCACAACTGTAGGGGAGCCAAAGAGCAAAAACACTGCCAAAATCTCCAGTGTTGCTTCAAATGGCGTAGTTAAGTCGAACAGGTAAAGCACCACATAAGCACATTTTAACCTAATATTGTTTTGAAAATAGGGTTAAAGTTATGAAATGAATATCATGCTGCATTCAATACACCAACTATTTGATAACACCTTCTGGAGAATGTTTACTATGAATGGTGCATTTAGCCTGGCTTTACTTTTCAGAGCTAGAGGCCAGATACACATTTAGTAAAAACGGACATCTATATAGGAAAAGAATAAACCATCTGAAAGTGATCAAGGCTTTTAAAAGTAGATTATCAGTAAAAACAATGGCCTGATGAGGGATTTGAAGTGTCTCAGCACGTTGTGCTGATCTTACCTGGGACAGTGTCGCACGGGTTTCTTGAACGGACAAAAAAGCGCCACTGTGGTATCACATGTTACTGCCTTAACTGGGAGACAAAGAGGAAAAAATACAGCGATCAATGATCCTGTAGTATTTCTTGACACAGGGAAGCTTACAAATGTGAGTTTGAAAAGTGCTTCATACCAGGGACTGAGTCTACTTTGAAGGAATTTGCACTTCTGTTTTTCCTGTAATGTAAAGCCAAACCACACACATTTATGCTAATGGGGGCACAGTTCTGCACCACAAATAGAGAGATCGAAATGGTCGATAATGATTTTTTAAAAAGAAAGAAAAGAACGTCACCCAATGGATTGGATCCCGTTTTTGTAAGACTTTGTAAACTGCTGCTTTCTGCCCAGTCGGGTCACATCCAGCCATCCTCCATCGTTGTCAATGACTCCAGAGTGTAGTCCAGCTCCACACACACTGGATTGCTGAAGCCACAGTTGCAGACTTTTCATACAGTTTGTTCATAATGACATGAACGCCGTGGTATGGGCTTTAAAGGGATGCTTTACCATGTCGTAGTACGCAGTTCCAACGACTTTTGCGGGTCTGTCCAGACACCCGGGGGGACACTCATATCTAAGAACAGAAAAACAATGTGGCCAGCATTACACATAATGTGTGGTGCTTGTCTGACTCTGGCCCTACTTTCTATCAGTATCTACCTATTACAAGTTGTTCCTTTGCAACGATCCCTCAGTTTGGTCTCACAGTCAACCTGTTGGCCTTAAATAACATCAAGCACAATAATACCTGTCAAAATGGGTTTAAAATACATAGAATATGGCATCCAGATATGAATAAGATCTTCCTTACTCATCTGCTCTGTGCTGACGACAGGGGTTCTGTCAGGGTTGTCATTGGCTGAGGGGTTTGGGGTCTGGGCCCTTGGCGGGGGCTCTCTGTCCCGCACCGGCTCTTGTTCAGGTTCAATGTAGTTGCTCTCTTCAATCTCCGGTGCTGGTCGCTGCTCAACACCCCCTTCTAAAAGAACACTCCAGATTATTTCATTCTGATATGATACTACACCTAAAAACTAGTTGAACTGATTAAAAATGTAAGAAAGTGGGTCATTGTTTTCAATAAAGTGCTCGATGTATGGGATAATAGCACAGTTAATTGCTCAATAACACAATGAATATAGGAAAGTTAATACAATATTTAAGACCTGGAGGAAAATCTGCTCAAACCTACCCTTATAACATAAGTTGTTTCTGCATCCACCAGCGTAACTGTCTGGACAGGCAGAACATGGGCTTCCATATTTGTACGGAGCATGGCCCCACCAGTTTCCACTATAAAACAACCGTCACAACCCAAATTCATCAACACCGGCGCACAGCCAAATGATGTTTATCCCATCGTCTAGGTTTAAATCTGTAACATGACCCTGTCGAAGACTTACGGAGGAGAGTAGTTGCAGACCAGATAGACAGCTTTGGCCCAGATCATCCCCCAGACATTCATGTTGTAGCACACGTTGATGGCACAGCCAATACGATTACTAGTTGCCCACACCAACTTAAACAGACAAAAACAAACGAACAGTGTTAACTGATTTCTGTCCTATTGGGGTGAATATGTGTCAAAGTTTAACTAGAACATGCTGAATAGTTTGGGATACATGTTTTATATAATCATTCCGTAGTTTATTCTGGAATGTGTAATTTCAGTTATAATAATGTTAATTTCTAAAATTGTAATAGTACTTTAGAACTCTATTCATACAGTCCTTACCTGAGTGTAGTGAGTGCAAACTGGTCCTGAGCATCTAAACGGACAGTGTGGGTTACACTCCTGGGAGTATGGATAGCTGTAATACCTCACCTCATCATACCAGGCCTGAACGTGGAAGGTGGGGGGTCTGTCCCTATAGTGACAGAAAAAGGTGTTTTAAATATCCTGTAATATATGTTAGCGTAACACATATTAGACAATAGATAAAAGCACTAAAAGCACATTTTATATTTGTTAGAGTAAACTTCATACACCATGGTGGAAGTTTCCATTAGGAAGTAATAATTAAAGGAACTAATACATTTGAAGGTGTAAACTGGACAATTTGGGGGAAAAAAAAACTTTAATCTATGTTCCTGCAGCTCATGGTAATGATTATGTCAGAATGCTCAAACCCCCATGAACATTGTCTTTGGAACAATTATCTTTCCTCACTTAGGTTCACATTGGAGATCATTGTTTAAGTCTCCCAGTTGAAAAAAACGTGTTTATCCTAGACACAGCTGTAAGCCTATTGCCGATTATGGTCCGCCACAAATCAAACAAAATCGAGTTGATTTTAGATATGTGCTGAGTTTTTATGAAATCAACACCATTAGAGAAGGAATAGAATTGCTTTTGACTGTAACTTCATCTTAAATTGAAACAATTAAGGTAAATACTTAATAGAAGTATGTTGAAAAAATAATCAATTAACGCATGAATCCCAAATTAAACACAACACCTTTACTTGAAGCGTGATCAAAATGCTTGGTCACACACACCTGCCCCAATGCGCACCAAGGTTTTGGCCTATTTGGGTCAACATGTGGCTCGGTCCATGCTCCCATCGGCAGGTATGTGCCCAGTGCTCTGCGCTCCTCTCTAAGTCATAATCCCATACCTGAGAACACAAGCACATATGAACAAACAGTTAACAAAAATGTCACCGCTGTGTGTGTTCAATAGGTCAACCCGTTAAAAACTCAGTGAGGCAGTCACCATGCAAAGATGAACCTGCTCTTAGCTCAAAAGTGCAATTGTTTTTTTTCTTGAAAATTTGACATGCTATAGTCAGAACCAGGCCTCTCCTTTAAAAAAAAAAACACATTCACTCTCTTACAAGCAGACACATAGATGAGACACCACCACATCAACTAGCACCTTTGTGCTACCATTCGGTGGGGTTGTGTCATAGCTTGTTTCCAGTAAGTTCTGGCATCGTCAAGAAAAAAAAGAGGTAAAACACCTACAAACACAGAAGTTCTCTGTTTGAGGGTTTGATGCCATCTCTGCTGAAGTTCAGCCAAAATACCTCTGAACAATTCAGACATGCTGCTTGGGACAAAGTGAAAAAGAAGGACGCATTAACTAAACTGCGCAATTTAAATGAAGCGGAAAAATGAATGTAAATTGACTTGCAAAGAATTGTTGCACTGTGCTGCTGGCCCACTGTTTAGATGCATGAAAGCACCCACACGTCAGGACTAACTGGATAATGCTGAAGTGTGGACCCCTGTAATACTTTCCATATGTTCTGTTTTGGGTTCTGTTTCAGTCTGATTGGAAAAGTGATATTTTATGTCTATTCTGAACAATCCAGTGGTGACCAACACAGAGCTGTCCTTTTCCTGGAGAGCTGTATGGCAGAATTCTCTTCATGCCAACTTTCATCATCGTCTTGCTTTAATTTGCATAACTTTTGTAGTTTGGTTCTAGAAGATACTGGAAAATGAAACAGAAAAATCACAATGAATATCAGTTATTCTAAACATCCATTGTTCACTTTAATCCCCTCTCAGTTTGTGGTAGAAAATCATGGTTGAGTGGAAGATACTACATGAAGTGCATTCAGAGGACTTTGGTTGGATGCAATGGCTTCATGTATTCGAGGCAAAAACACCAAGGCAACAGGCTAGAGGAGCTTATAGCAACAGGAATATGAAAGCTCAAGGAAAGGCAGACTATGCAAAGTTCTCTGAACCTGAGAGGATACCAGAGAGGTTCAATAGAAGAAGTATGAGTCCATGTTTATGATGGCAACATTAACAGTATCCTTCCTCTAAAATACAGACACTGTGAAGGTGGATGGTATCCTGAGGACTCACAAAACACCTAATTTAGATTAGCTTACATTTTATGGCAATTCACAACAATCCTCCACAGTCATGAAGAGGAACATCTGGAAATATTCATCAACTTCAACCTTTGAAAATTGAAATATCGGGACACTTCCTGTCAATCAAACGGCTTTGGTCACAGAAGCAGCGGCGGCATTATCTGCCTTTTCTCCAGGCCTACCATCCACAAATGAGCCATTAATAAGTCAGTAAATGGCTTATATTTCTTTATTTTTTAATTCTAACCTAAATCAAAGTTAGAAAAAAAAGTTTTTTAGTAAAAAGAAAACTGCAATGATGAAGTTTAAAATAGACAGTTCAGTTTGTTGCCTGTATTTCTAATAGTTTTGGGGTGTATTTGTGGAAGTTACTCTTGCCGAATGCCCTTTTCATCTGTCCGATGCTGAGATTTATAGAGTGGGTAAATACAGGTACATTGAGTTAATTATGTAACTTCCAAAAACTTACAACTTACAGAAGACCAAACTCAACTGAACTGAGATGAATGCTAATAATCTTTCACAGGTGCTTGAACTCAGCTCTCTCTCTTTAGCTTTTAACTTTGGCTGTGGTATATAAGGACAGGTCAAACCATTTTTTATCTTTTTTTTCCTCTGATAACACCTTACCTTATTTAAAACACCCTCAAACCTTACTCCTTTATAGAGGGTAATACTGCCCTCTTCCACAGCTCTGTGAGGCCTTCACTGACAGGGAAATCAGAGCAGAGCACAAAACTCTGACTGCAGGCAATCTACAGCAGATCTAATTACCTCTTCTAGCTCATTAGTTTTTTTTTCCCCGCTCTTGTTTTTCTTCCCTCTCAGTTATCCAGTCGAGGAGAGGATGGACTGCCCACACGTCTTTGGAGAGAGGTCAGAGTAACAATGACCAATCCCTTTGCTGCATTCCAAAGAGAATTAAGTCTCTAAACTGTAGACCTGCCTACAGCTATCTGTCAGGGCCCCCTCACCACCACACAGCCACATCAAAAATGCTTTTGCAATTCAAAGTGCACATCTTAATTCTCATAAGTTTAACACTAAGTGGCTGCATTTGTTGAAACCTTGAATGAAGTCTTGATTTCTCAAGATTCAGAAAATGAAATGGAAAACAATCGTTTGGAGACATTTGCAGGACAGCTGTTTCCTGAAACACTGCAGCCTGGGAGTGCAGTTTGACCACATCATTATCATTAGTAATAGTATCCTTCACTGAAGAAACACCGGATTTATGCATATAACACACATTTGCACCACTGTGCCACACACTTCAAACAATAAAGCTGGACATGTTTGAAATAGACTCACCGCTGTGTTACCCAAAATGAGATGAGAGGAGGATCAAACAAAAGACAACAGCAGCCCGGTCTGGGTGAGTTGAGATGGATGGACAGCACAAAGGCCAGGATTAGAGTCAAAGTGAGGGAGGGTGAAGATCAAGCGAGCAAATTAGCCAGGCAGTGAGAAAAACGGGCCCGATAGAGTAGGAGCAGGCGGAGTGGGGAGAGGGGGCCGGTTGTGGTGGAGGTCGAGGACAGGACAACACAGCGGGGGAAAAGCTGGACCAGGGCCAGGGTCAGCAAGGGTGGGCAAACAGAGAACCGGAGTCAGAGCTAACCAGATAAAGGCTTCAGCCTGCAGAACCTCTTTTCCCTCTTCCCTTCCCCAGTCTGCTGTCTTTTAGAAGTCCCGTAACAGAGTTTAGGGAATGCTTTTTCTCTCGGAAATACAGCATTTAAGAGTCAAACAAATGGGCCAGGGTCCCAAAGGACATACCCTGTCTAACTATAGTAGATATGACCACAGACAGAGAACAACGTAGGTGTTACATCAAGGAAGTATGAAGTATTAAGCCTGTCAAACATTCACTTTCTTAAACAGCAGTTCTGATTCTCACATATTTACAACATTTAGACTGAAATTTGATTCTAGACTGTGTCTCATTTCTTGCTGGTGAACACTTGGTTGGCTAAAATATACAAACTGTAAATGTAAACTGTGTAAGACAGTCTCATAGTAAAAAAAATAAATATATAGTACAAAAGATAGCAATGCTGACCCCTGGATGGTGGCTAGTGTCCAGATTAACACCCTATGATGAGGATGTTGGGTTTAAAAGTCAAAACATTTGCATGGACCATCACGTTAGAATATTGAGTTAAAAACAAACCGTATTGATTTATAATATTAAGGTAATTGTGAAAGTAATTGGTATTTCCCCTGTCCTCTCTAGTTGAGCATAGGTGAGCAATAACACATGAAACAACATGTTAGGCTTCCAGAACAGGAAATGGGTGTTGAGGCCTCGAGGGGAGCCACAGAATGCCGTCTTCTCCTGTGAGTTTGAGTTAGATGTGCAAAGCAAGAACCTGGCTCATTCCAATCCTTAACCCCGTACACTACAATAACGTATAGCGTATAGTTGCAGCACTGGACGGAACAGAGGGAGGAAAAGTTCAGAAAGCTGGAGGAAAAGACTTCAACTTTTCAGTCCTTTCCTCAAGCTTCACGAACGTGACTTCAGCATGTCAACACGTTCCAGCTGAACTTGGAGGTTCAGCTCAGTCCTCTGCACTCACCATGTGCTCCATGTTGGAGGCGGGGGGGTGCACCTGACCGCGCAGCTTGTTGTGCAGGTCCAGGATCAGATGCATGTCCCCCTCGCTGATGGCCCTCCTCCCTCTGGACCTCGCCTTCCACCACTTGTCATCTTTGTCCCTGTACTGGTTCAGCATGGACTCCAGCTGGGTGGAGTTAATCAGGACCAGGGCTTGGACGGTCCGGGTCCAGCACAGAAACAAGCCTACCACTCTAACCCAGCCAGGGAGAGAAGGAGATCTCTTCATGTCGAACTAAAGTCTGATGATATGAAGGATGCCTTTGGTCTGTAAAACGGGGGTGTTCAAAGAAAACAGTTTAAGTTTAAATTCTTTTTACAAATAACAAAGTACAAATTAAGAAAGTATAAATACTTTTATGTCAAAGTAATCTGCTCTATTGGTGCTGGAGGAGCTTTAAAAAGAGCCCCCAAAGTGGTGTGACATTTATGCCTTCTATCTATTCAAAATCCAATAATCCTAAAAACATAGAAGACTTTTCCTTAAACAGTGAGCCTCCAACAGCTTTCAGCAGACTGGGTGCATCTAAAGGTCACTGCTTCACTAAACACAGTAGCAGCAGTGTCAGCCCAGCTTCCACACATCATGAGAGGGCAAAAACGCCTCAGGCTTCCGAACTGTACTTTACCTGCGCTGGCTTTAGCGATGTGGTCACTAAAGTAGTCATAGTACGATATTTGGTGCTAATGAATGAGAAGCTTAGCACGCCTACAAACAGCAAAGGTTCGTTTACCTCGAAATTCTCCAAAAAACGATCAAAATGTGTCTCTGATGTGATTGTGGCAGATGCTGAACCGTCCAGTTTCTACAGGAGAACGCGCCAGAGGGGAGCGCATTTAAATCCATCCATGCTAGAGATGAGCTCAGGCAGTTGGGGCTCTCTTAGGCTGCACATCCGCGCTGCATGACAGGGACCTCGCGAATGCCTGAGTACCTGTTGAATTCTTCAGTTCTCTCAGTGTCCTGCAGGCTGCAAGGCACTGCTCCTCATTTTGCGCTTATATGCCAAATTTGCGCTTAGGGACGCAAGTGGACCACGCCTCCATAAACCCGGTTACCCCCCACCCCCCTCACCCAATTCTTGTGCACAAACACTCACACACGAACTGGCCGGGACCTGTTGGGACTCCAGGCTTGATCTATTTGAAGAGGCAAGTGATTTCAGAAGAAGTGACGTGAAGGTAAACTTGCGGATGCTGTGGAAGCAGCCCACGTTGGTTAGAAAACAGTACACATTTTGCTGTGTCCAATTTTTCTCACTGAAAGACAAGGTGAATACTCTTATTGGCAGATTAAAACACACTACTTTAGGCTACATTTCCAAAAGGCTGAGACATCATTGAAAGCAGTTTTATCCCAGGCAAAAGTAACATTTCTTTACCTTAGCTCACACAAAAACTGGAAGAAAAAAACTGTGCATTGGTGCATATAGACCAAATATCCCACTCATGATCATCTTTGAGTTGTCTTGTGCTTGTGTTGAAGGCTTTACATGAAAAGTTTCATCACCAGTGTGCCAGAGGTGCGGCAGCAGCCAGCAGGGTGGCCGGTATTTTCCCTTAAACAAAACCACAAAGCACTGATTCATCTGCTTTAACACACACTCAGGCACATTTGTCAAAGTCTGTGGTCTGTGTATGTGCGTTCCCTCTCCTGCCCTCTTTTCCTCCTGTACGCCAGCATGCTCTCTTCTGAAAGTCCCCAGAAAAAAGTTTATTTTACAGTCACTTAAGTAAAGAATATAAATTGGGGAAATACAGATCATATATCTGAATAAAGAGGTCAGTGTAAGCAGTAAAAACAGTCTGACCACTAAGGAGTGGAGGAGAGGCAAAGATCAATTATGTTTCAAAGCCAATTGGATTATATAAGGAAAAGATGGCACGTGTCATCCATGATCTGTAATATTAGTGCCACATTTGTGCAGATCTGACAATGAGTCAAGACAAAGCAGAATGCCAACGTCTCTGTGCATTTATGAGATTCTGTAACAGTTTTTCTTCCATGGTACTTTCAGTCTTACAGAAAACTGCATGCAACATCAAACTTAGACTGCCAACGTCTGCTGCCCCCTTATGGATACTGATCATCTCACATCCTTACCTCCACACAGGGTGCTGCTGCTCACCAGGGTGCACAACAGACAAAACAGAAGTAAAACATAAGAAAGGTAAAGCTCCCTCAAATAAAGGTCACGAGGTCATGAGGAGGGTAAGCTCCTGTCCTATTTATACTGTCACAGCATGATATTCAAAAAGTTTCTCCAAGAAATCTCTGAATTTCAAATGTGAAATTGTTTATTGTTCTTATAGTAATTCAGTTCTAAACTATACTGTGCGTAATTGTGCCTAATTTATTTTCCCCCCTATTTTTTTTACAAACCAATTAAAAATTATTATACCCTATGTATGTATCACTGCGTCTGGAAAGATGCTTCATTATTCCTGTAGGGCGCGTGTGACCCCCTGCTGCTAAAAGAAACAGAGACTTTAAAAACAAGATCAACAATATCATTCGAAGAATTACGCACACGCCAAAATCAAATTTACGCACAGCCGTTCGCTGCCTACGTGTTGTGAGTGGATTTAAAAACAGCCCAAAGGTGGAGCGTGAATTGTGAAGGTTCGACTTTAATCCTTTGAACCGTCGGGAGGGATGGGGACGCGCGCGTCTGCTCCCGGATCCCGCGCGCTCTGAGGTTTGGCAACAAAAAGCCTGGAAACGCGCCGTCCGCCACCTCGGGACTATTTCATGGCAATAACCGAGTCAGAGCCTGTGATCCTCAGGGAACAGACATGGTGGCCAAACTTCTGCTGCCCATCGGTGAGTGGACGTGAGTCCAGAGGAATTTCAGAATCCCAGCTTCAGCCTTTAGCTTTTTACTGGGGCTCTCACTTGTTGACCTGTAAGGACTGAGCTCCTTGTGTTTATGTGTTTTCCCCCATTTTTTTCTCGTGTTCCAGCCTTCTGCTGGCTTCTAATAGTTTTTTTCTTGTGTCCCCTCAGCTTTAGCAGCAAGCTTCATGTCAAATGAAGTGTCCGGGGCCACAGCTACCACAAAAAAAGGTATGACATCCTCAGACACACTACGCCCATAATGACACATTTTACAGAACAGCCCTGAGGATTTGCAGTTTTTCTTCAGTTATACATCCTTATTTCATGAGTGAGCCGTATCCCACCTTCTCCAGGATACGGATTAATAGGAGGATTTATTGAGTTAGATCCCGTGAAGGCGGGTGAACAGGAAAATGGTGTTTGGCGGTGTATTTTGGTTAAATCAGAGTGTTGACAAAGTTCTAATTAACACCCAGGGGAGAATCACAGCCCCCTCATTTTCTCTCTGATGTGAAGTTATTAATAATCTTTCTGTGGTTCTTAACATGTGAAACTGCGCTCTGGCTGAAAATAACTTTTAAATGAAAAAGTAAACAACGCCCCAGAAAGCTTTTGTATTCTGAACCTAACGAAAGCGAGAAATGAAAACCAAGAACTTCTGCTCACCTGAAGCTGTGCGCTGCCTTCTGTCTGCCAGCGGTGAAGAACAACTCGGGTGTGACACCCGCGGGGCTGTGTGGGACCTGGATAAAGGAGGCCGATGGAGGGTATTTCACCTCACCCAATTACCCCGAGAAATACCCACCGGAGAGGGAATGCATCTACATTATAGAAGGTGACGGGAAACTTTTCTGACCAACCTCTCGTATCACCCACTTGATATACCACATTGCAAACCTTTCAACTGTATTAAGAGTTCATGAAATATCTGGTGGATGTGTTCTAGCCCTGTGGTTTTATTTATATCCACATGTATGCTTGGAAATAAGTTTTTCTACACAAAGTGAAGTATGAGTTGCTCCCAATGTAACTGCCTTTTATTGGCCAGCGTCTTTTTCAAACGTCTTCATAGTTAAGAACATAGCTGTACTCCCTCCATCCATGCTGCTTTTTACCTCCCCGTCTTTACATTCCCCCCCCTGCAGCCTCACCACGACAGTGCATCGACCTGTTTTTCAACGAGAACTACGCCCTCGAGCCGTCCTGGGAGTGTAGGTTTGACCACATCGAGGTCCGCGACGGTCCCTTTGGTTTCTCCCCCATCATCGGCCGCTACTGTGGGCAGGAGCTCCCCTCCTACATCCGCTCCACCGGACGCTACCTGTACATCAAGTTTGTGGCTGACGGGGAGCTGGAGGCCATCGGTTTCTCTGCCCGCTATAACTTCACGCAAGGTGAGTGAGGGCGGTAAACAACGCTCTTCAGGCTCTGATGCGTCTCACTCTGAGGGTTTGACAGGCATCCGTCCACTTTAGTGTTTGGATTCGGTAACAGTAACCCATCCCGTTCATTTCCAGATGAATCTCCTGTTGTGAAGTGCTTGTGGTAGCAGCAGTAGTGGGGAAAAAAACAAACTGTTTGCACATTCTCTGCTGTTCATGTGTGAAAACAACTCCTGCTATGGTGGATACTGTTCTAAAAAAAAGCCACTACTTGATTTACCACAGACTCTGCAATCACATAAAAAGACTCTCTTCATCACGAGTAGCTTCCACCCAGTTGAACAAAAAAGATACCTGGATGGTTGTCCACTGAACAAGTAACTGTCTTTTTTATGAGGTTTTCACGTTTAAAATTAGACCAGGTTGGCTGTGTGCAGTTAACTGTTGTAGACCATCATCATTAGAATTACATTTACCTAATGAGCTGAATTATTTAAACGCATAAATGCACTAGAACTCACTCTGTGTCTCTGGCAAACCAGGAGACTGTTTTTTCCTAAATTCACTTGTACATGCCACAAATGAAGTTTAGGTTGGTCGACACTAACGCATTAACATGGCTGGCAGGTGGGTGATCAGAGTATTACGAGGGCTTTAAGCTCCTTTCTCCATCTCCTGGCACTCTTTCTCAACTCACCAGCTGTGAATTTGACATTGTTGAATTTGGTCTGACTAAGCCAGAATACGCTTTAAACCCCAAACTATCAGTTTCTGTTGTGAGAATACATTTGAATATACTTTCATTCCCAATGTCATAATGATATATCCACATTTACTTTTCTATTACAATCCAAGATAGACTTTGCAAATCTTTCACCGACATAAAAGGATGCAAACTTGTGTGCAATAAATGCAGATTTTAACTGCAGACGTCAGATTTTTTAACCTCAGCTATGGCCTGCTTGCATGTGCTCTCATTTCCATTCGCTGCGCACGGCAGCTGCAGCTGACAGGAGCACATGCAGATACACACCAGTCCACCCACCCACCCACACACACAGAGGCACTTGTTCCCTCGGCTCTGTCTCTCTCACACACTCTCACACACACATCCTCACACACACACGCACGAGAGTTAATGAAAGCTTGTCTTCAGGGACTGCAGCTTGTCAGCACTGAGCCGTGGCAGCAGCTTAAGGGAGTCAGAGGCGGAGGCTTTATTAACCACAGATTTTATAGGCCACCTACACCGGCGAGGGGCCGGGATTAATCTGCATCTCTCCGTCCAGCTATCTAGCTGGTCTCTGTTATTGTTTTTATTGCTTATGGAATTTTTCCAGCTTTAGATTCCTTGGCCTATCATGCGTACTGTAGCTCTGGAGGTGCCAGCCAGAAGTGCATGTCAGGGCTCAGCGCTGCTTTTCCCAAAATATGACACTTGGCTTCTGCCTCACGCGCTGTTTTTCTCTATAATAGAGACAATTTAAGCAAACTTGAGAATTCATCAGACATTTGAGTAATCTCTTTTCTTGTAAGCAGGGCTCTGACATGATTTGTCCCTATAAGAGGGTATTTTCCATCATGAGCAGCTGGTTTATATCAGATGCAGTAAGCAGGAAAGGTCAAAAGTTAATCTCCTAATTCCACTCATCAGGAGTGGCAGGAGAGAGTAAATTTGCCCAAACGCACGCTTGCATGATTACAGGCAAACAAAATGTGACTGAATTCTGATAAAGGATTGTCTGGTCAGGTGAGGCT